AGTAGAATATATGTATTTTGAGAATATACGGATAAGTACGTAGAGTGGTTCAAGCAAATAATGTCATTAGCTGTCGAAAAAACTGCCACGACCCACGAGCATCAAATCAGTTGCGACGTACTACTACAGTACAAGGCTTTTATCTGGAAGCCGTACCCTCTTTACCGTAAGCGCAAAATTAATATTTGCAGTCCGAATTAGGTATTTCTTAATCTATTATATTATTAAAGGAATAGAAAAAGGAGCCTCCACGTTCGTTCTTATTGTCTAGAAATTGTCACATTAATCGGAGAAAAAGAAAAGGCAGAATCCATAGAAATACAATTTAGAAATAGTTAAAATTCAAAATTAAAAAAGTAAGGAATATTAGAAGAGGAGACTAGAGTCCATATAGAAATACAATTTAGAAATAGTTGAAATTCAGAATTAAAAAATAAGAAATATTAGAAGAGGAGACTAGAGTCCATATAGAAATACAATTTAGAAATAGTTGAAATTCGGAATTAAAAAATAAGGAATATTAGAAGTAGAGTATAGAGTCCATATAGAAATACAATTAGGAAATAACTAAAATTCGGAATTAAAAATAAGAAATATTAAAAGTAGAGTATAGAGTCCATATAGAAATACAATTAGAAAATAATTGAAATTCGGAATTAAAAATAAGGAATATTAGAAGTAGAGTATAGAGTCCATATAGGAATTTAAAACTAACTAAAATTCGGAATAAATATAATAAAATGAAAAGTAGTGTTTAGAGTCCGTATAAAAATACAATTTACAAATAACTAAAATAAAAAATTAAGAAAAACATGAAAAAAAAGAGTTTAAAGTCAATATAGGAATACAATTTAGAAGTAACTAAAATTTGAAATTAAAAATTAAAGAGTATTGAAAGATGAGTTTAGAGTCCACGTAGAAATACAATTAGAAATAATAAAAATTCAGCATTAAAAAAATAAATATTAAAAGATGAGTCTAGAGTCCATATAAGAATGTATATAATTTACAAATAACTAAAATTTGATATTAAAAATAATTAATAACTAACACGTATATAAAATACAATATGAATATTACACATTAGTAGTTTCGTAAAGTTATTGTAAAATTTAAAATTATATTATCATTGTAATATATTTTAATAATATAATAAGAAAACATATATGCTATTATATGAGAGAAAATATAATGAAGCTACCCGTGCAATCTGAGCGGACCACCATGCTAGTTTATTTTGAAGACATTAATCTGGTTACATATACTGATCACGGATTCAGATGAGGTGCAATTACAACTGTGACTACACTTAAAACATTAGACATAATCTTATCTATCTATTTTTGTTATCGAGATCTGGTGCTACAACAATAACATAAATAACCTTTGGTACAATGTTTTGCTATGAACAGTGCGATCCACTAGTCACTGATGTTAAACGGGAACGGCGAAGGGCATGTGCCGAGGCAGCATCAGACCGAAAACGCGTTAGACATGCCAACGCGCGGCCGAGCAAACAGTAGATCAGGGTTGCAGCTAAGAATTAGAGGCCCTGCCGCCCTGGTACGAAATGTGTAATGAGGCTTTAAAATTTGATAGCCAAATCCTCATGATACAATAATCAATCACGATGACTGTATTCTTTTGGAGGGGTTGGGCTCCACAAGGAAAACGGAGCGATATATTATCACATGATTAATTAGATATTAGCTAAAAAAAACTTTTAAGATAGATTAATATGATTTTTTTAAAACAACTTTCCTATATAAACTTTTTACAAAACGCGTACCATTTAGCAGTTTAAAAAGCGTATCTGCGGAAAACGAGTGAGGGGAGTTGGGAACATATGTGAAAGAACATAGCCTAAGCTGTATTTGGGAGAAAAATTTCCCAACCTCTTATCTCCTAACATAGAAAACGAAGCAAGCAATTAAAGCGAGATTAATTAAGTATTAGACCAAAATTTTAAAAAATAGATCAATATGTTTTTTTAAGCAATTTTGTTATAGAAAATTTTTATAAAAAACACGTCATTTATTAGTATGAAAAACGTCTTACTTTTAGGCCGTGTTTAGTTTCTCCCTTATTTCCAACTTTCCATCACATCATAACACATAAAAGCTTTCCTACACACATAAACTTCCAACTTTCTTTTTTAAACTCTCAGCTTTCTTCAAACTTTTAACTTTTTTCATGGAAAACACACCCTTAGTTCCTGCAGATGAGGCCGGCGGTCGAAACGCGCTGGCCGGCCAGATTGACGGCCTCGCGTGCACCTGCATGCCTGCATCAACGCGACGCCACTGACCACGCACCCCTCGCCCTCGGCGCTGCACGTTTCTCCAATCAATCGATCCGTGCCGTGACGGGCGCTAAAAGAATAGGGGGAAAAAACGGGTGCAGACATATGAGATTAAGATTAGTACACGCCTGGCGCCGCCGTGGCAGGTCGGGCGTGTGTGCTGCGCCTTGCTTGAACGTCATTCGAAATTTTGCAGATGGCACGTACATGTGCGGTTTTGATTTTTGGGAGTTTTCAAAGAAGCTTAGAGTACGATCGAGAGGTAAATTCTGTCACGAAATCGCGAGGTAGACGGGGTTTTACGCCTACGAGACGAGAGGGTACTCGTGACGGCTTGCTAGTTGCTATTGCTCTAGCTAGTAAATGCTGTGATCTTGTGAATATCGAGGTACTCCTTGAACGGTCCTTTTCACACCAAATTCTTCGAGTGAATGAGGTTTGTTACGCCACTCCACAGCCTGTATGAAACGTATTTTACGTCTATGGTTATAAGTTGAATAACAATAGAATAATCTTCAAAGCAAGATCTTTATATATATAGTTCTACTACGTATTAACAATACAAAAGATTAAGGCTGAGTGGCTGACAATAGAAAGCGTAAAAAATAAATTAATTAACATCAAGATTGAGAACCGGCTACAGGTTCTTAATTAAAATGGGCAAATCTTGGTTAATAAGTATGTAAAAATCATATTAACTTCTGTGAAAAATGGTCACATTTTTTAGAGAAATGGTCAACATAATGTAATCACACTAAATTTCATAAAACTAAACATATTTTGAGAACATCATCACACAACTACTTATTTAAGTTAAGTTAGTATATGCAAACTATGGAGCTACTGTTAATTTTATCCCAAAACTACATGTTTTAAATTTTATATCAAAAAAATTGTGCTAATTTTAAAAATTACATCATGACAATATTGTGCTAAACTAAATATTTCATCTACCCGCTTCTCTTTCACACATACATTTATGTGTTTACATTGTGGATTAAATGCATGTTTAGAGCACCCGCAATAGTAAAGTAAGGTGCTCTCTATAAAACATGTACATCTCAGCAATAGACTAGATTAATAGTAAACTACTTCAATGGTATGTCTACATGGGTATCTATAGCTGTCTAATCCATTGCCTCGTTTTTCTCTATAGACTATCTCCAGGTTAGTAGATAGCTTTGCTCTCTCTCTCTTCATTTAATCTCTTCCATGTAGGAAAATATGCTGACATGGATATCTTGTAGAGAGCCATATTTTCCTACATGGAAGAGATTAAATAAAGAGAGAAAGCAAAGCTATCTACTAACCTGGAGATAGTATATAGAGAAAAACGAGGCAATGGATTAGACAGCTATAGATACCCATGTAGACATACTATTGAGGTGGTTTACTATTAATCTAGTCTATTGCTGAGATGTACATGTTTTATAGATAGCACCTTACTTTACCATTGCGGGTGCTCTTAGGTTGGCCATAACCAATTTTGAATTTTAGAATTAATTCAGTTCTTTTTTGTTCTTTGACTTTACCGCTAAGAGAAGATCGAAGTACAAGAATCTGACCTCAAAACTATGTTACATGCATGGTATGAGTCACAACCAAAAAAATGCTCAAACAAGCAGGCCTGAACGATGCGGTGATTGTAGAAAATTTTGGTTGTAACAACAAAAGATTTAGTCGACTTCTTTAAGAAAGGTTAAAGGACGATTTTCATTACGAAGATCCAACGCGAACAAAATTTGATTAGACATGAATGAGCAACCAAAGCTAGAAGGGACTGTTACTCAGGCTTCTAGACCAGGTTTGAGTCCAACTCTATTTCGTGGTTGATCAAAAACGATTGTAATATGCCCCGTGTGATTTAATAGTCCTTTTTCCCTAAATAAATTTAGTTAACCATCGAGCTAGTGGATTATTCTGATTTTCCTTAGATTGTAGTAGCCTCTAAAACCTGAATTTTGTGATAAAAGTGACACTAATTAAACATATATGTTGTGATTTGCTCGCTTTGATTTAGATATGTTAAATTTGTAGTCGTGCAACAAATTTGCTCAATTTATGTTTTTATATAAAAATATCAATGTTTTACCAAAATTTACTCCTTTTTCACTGCTTTGTTGCCTTGTTATAATGGTTGGTACAGAACCCAAAAACAAAATACTTCCGGTCTTATTGTTTTGATTATGCTTATGTGAATCGCTTATTAACAATTTAAAGGCAATTTACGAGTAAAACTTTTATATACGTGTTCTTAATGATTTAAAAATAAATATTATAAAATAAATTACAATGAAAAAAAAATGAAAAAATCAGCTCTAAAGTTAAGTATTAAAACTTAGACTTTTACTTACAATAATAAGTAAACAAAATAATAGGGTTATTCATAATATGGCAGGGTTTTTGGTTAGTAAAATTAAAGTAAGAAAACACAGAGCCATGTTAAACACGACCACATGTATCACCCATTGACCTCCTAACAACTTGACAGTCAAAAACGTGTCATCATGGTTGCAGTTAAAAAATTATAAAGTTAAAATGATTTTTAACCGCGTGGTGGGCAATAGAGTATTGTTTACAAACCCCCTTGCAAAGGAAGAAAATCAAACCACACCTTATACAAAGAATAAGAAAGAATTCTCCCTTCGGTCCATCTCAAGCCCAATACTCACACCACCCCCCCTTTGACTCCCGCACACCTCCCCTCCTTTTTTTCTTTTCCCTCCCCTTTTAAATTCTCACGCCCACCCGCAATCGCCGCAAACTACAAAGCGAGCCAAACTTTGCCCCACACCCAAGGCCACGCGCGAGAGAAGAGAATTCGCCAATTCGGAGGCAAAAATCCAAGCGCGACGCAGCTCAGCCCAGCCGCCGGAGGAAGGAGCATCAGGCGAGGCGCGGCGCGGCAATGGGCAACAGCATCGGCGGGCGGCGCAAGGGCGCCAAGGTGATGCAGCTGGACGGCACGGCGTTCCGGGTGAAGCCCCCGGCGTTCGCCGGCACGGTGCTGCGCGACCACCCGGGGTTCCAGCTGCTCGAGTCCGAGGAGGTCAAGCTGCTCGGCGTCCGCGCGCGCCCGCTCGCGCACGACGCGCCGCTCCGCCCCGGGCGGCTCTACTTCCTCGTCGCGCTGCCCCGCCCCACGGCGCCGCCGCGGCGGGCGTGGTCAGGGGCGCTACACGTCGGCGCGCGGGAGCGGCTCGAGTCGCTGATGCTCACCCGCCGGTCCACCTCCGACCTCTCCCTCCCGGCCTCGGCGGCGGTCGGCACCGCGCCGCCGTCCCCGATGTCCACCGCCTCCGAGCCGGGCGGCGGCCCCGTCCGCCTCAGGATGCGCCTCCCCAAGGCGCAGGTGGAGAAGCTCATGGGCGAGAGCCGGGACTCCGCCGAGGCGGCCGCCAAGATCATGCAGCTGTGCGCCGCGGCCAACGCCAACGGCGGCGCGAGCGGCGCCGCGACGCCCGAGAGGGGGATACTGCGGACGCCCGAGCGGAGCCCGCGGTTCATCCCCACGCCGGACTGGGGCGTCGCCGGTGGCTTCGCGCGGACGCCGGAGGTGAGCCCGAGGTTCGCGGCGACGCCGGAGTGGGGCACCGGGTTCATGATGCCGACGCCAGAGAGGTCAGGGCTGCTGAGGACGCCGGAGAGGTGGCCGACGCTGCCGCGCACGCCGGAGTACTCGTCGCGAGACGTCAAGGCCGCCCGGAAGGAGGTAATGCATTGCTTCTCTCCAAGATTATTATTTGAAAAATATAATAATACTCCTCCCTTTCGAAATATTTTACGCCGTTGACTTTTTTTAAGTACATGTTTGACTATTTGTCTTATTTAAAAAATTTAAGTAATTATTAATTCTTTTCCTATCATTTGATTCATTGTTAAATATATTTTTATGTAGGTATATAATTTTACATATTTCACAAAAAAATTTTAAATAAGACGAACGGTCAAACATGTGCTAAAAAGTCAACGGTGTCAAACATTTCGAAACAGAGGGAGTACTCCATTACCTAATTTCAGGATTATTATTGTGTTTTATTTTTTTTGTGGTTACAAAAAAACGCATACACACTCATGCACGGTAGCGCCTGTTTTAACCCTTATCCAGAAAAGGGGGAAACAAATCCATGAACAATAAAAAAAATTTTACTTGATCTTAACTTTTTCTTTTTTTGCTGAAGCGCACGCGTAAATACGAGAACGATTAATTGAAGTGTGATGGTAGTTATAGAAAATATAATATTATGGTTCATGGCATTTTTTTTCTTTGCGCCCTAATAGTAGTGTGAACTAAGATTTTTTTCATAATCTAATTTTTCAGTCAAGAAAAATATTTCGTTCTCACAAACAAACAAAAAATGTCTTACTAAATTATCATAATTTCGAGTAGCAACACCTTTACCTCAACCTCCTCCCACGCAAAATTGTGTCAAAAATTAGCAAACCAAAATTTTCAGGTTGGCTACATAAATTTGCAGGTAGATGTTTATGCAAAAAAACAGTTTATAATCATCGAAAACCCAACTCTCTGTGGGATTTGGATCAAATGTTATAAAATGATGCTGTGTATGCATTGCTCAAATTGAAAAGAGAAAAAAACAACAATTGGGAATTGGATAATCGCGATTTTGAAGAACTTGTACTAGACGATTACGCGTCCTGAAGAGCATCGATCTGGAGCTGCATGGTTCACTAATCACTAGTGTGTCAAGCATGATGTTAGGCTAACGTATTAACGATGGGGCCCATCCAACAGAGAGAAAGTGTCATTAGAAGGGTCCCATGTCATGCTCTGACAAAGACAACAAATGGCTATTTTCTCTTTGTACTCGCACATCCGAGCACGACGCAACACGCAACGAGATGCATTTGATTTGGGGTGGTTAAAATAACTATTTCAGCAAAATCTCAACAGAGTCAGTTCATCTTAACCCAATTATTTTTTGTGCTTAGTACACCCAAGAAGATAGCACAGTACATCCACACAGTGTGTTGATTAATTAATACTGTTATTACTTTTGGAACGGACACTTTCAAAAGCTGTAGTAGTAATCAATCCAAAGCTGTCTCTTTCTCCATGAGCACGTACATACTTTGCCTGTAGATCTGTAGGAGCACAGCCAGTTAGAAAAAGTGAAAAAAAGAAAAGAAAAAGGAGAGTAAAAGAGACGATGCTGCTTGCTCTCGTCGCGTGAAATCAGCAAAGCTTGAGGCGTTTTATGTCGATGCTGACACGCTTTAGCAATTTCAATTACCGCCCAATCCAGCGTTGGTTTGCTGGTTGTTGTCGTGGCGCACGGGACGACGCGATCATCGCCGTGTTTAGTTCCAAAATATTTCTTCGAACTTTTAACTTTCCATCACATCAAAACTTTTATACACATAAATTTCTAACTTTTTCATCACATCGTTTCAATTTCAACTAAACTTTCAATTGATGTGAACTAAACACAGCCCATATCACAAATCACGGAGCAGTACGTACTGCAGCAGTAGTAGTAGTAGAACTTTTCAAGATTTTGACCGGATTGATGTGAGCGATGAGTGGCAGTAAAGAATACAGTTGCTTGTCATGCTCGCACTTGAATATCTGTGGATAATCAGGGGACTTTTCTCGGTTTTCTGGCTGCTAATTCAGCGTACAATTATCCGTAGTCCAGTCGTAGATCTCCAGCGGAAAAATGTTTTTGGTCCTGATGAAGTTTCAGAAAGAGTTCTCTGTACGCTTTCCACTGCTGTCAACAGATATCTACTTTAATACTCTTGATCGAAATGTGACGTTTTATTTTTTTTCCTTTATACGTGGCACTACATTTTCCTTCTCTGTTTTTTTTTTCTCATACCTTTCTTTGCATTCGCGGGAAATGACTAATTAATACTAGTCCTGTGTTCATCTGTGCTTGCAAACATGGAAATGATAACTCCATGTACAGTGAGATTGGTACAAAGCAAAATGTTCTTAAATTGATTCCTTCAGAAAAAGTGAAAGGTATGAGAAATTGAGAAGCAGAAGAAACATGGAATTATTATGTCATATGGGCTATGGCCAGTTCGCTGTCTTGGCTTAAAACCCATACTGGCAAAGTTTGAGGGATTAAACCATGCCAAGTTTCTTATTTCATAACCATCAGTATATCTCCGGCAAAATTTTCAGTCGCCGTCAGTGATGTGGTAAAATCGCCAATTTGATTTATTCGTTAGGAGCTAAAAGTCAAATAGACAGCCACAACCATTAAACTATAGCTCAGTTATTAGCAGCTGCAGGCAACCGTCATATGATAATTCTAGTCTTTCTTTGCAATTAACCTCATCACCATCAGTGATCCTTATCTAACTCTGCCAAGTCTTTTTCCTTCTCGAGATAATTAAAGAGAGGTCGATCGAAATGAGCGAAACGTTTAGCCTTTTCCTTCCTTCATCATTTTCACAATAATGCATTACAGTTGCACTTTGATATTAGCCTGTTACTTGCTTTCTTGCTTAATTTCTCCCCACGCTCAAAATCCTGACCTGTCGTTGTCTCCCTGACCATGCGTATACCGATTAACAATGACAATTGGTCTAAAGAGGATTATTATCAGTTTATCATTCGTCGCTTTTGCTGACGGTTTCTGAACTAATCTTTTTTCTTTTCTTGTGGTGTTTCAGAAGCGAACGAGGTTCGTGGCGATGCCAGACGAGATAATAGCATGACAGAATTTTCTGAAAATATGAAGTGTAATGAATCAATCAATCAATATATATATATAAATATATTGGAAGAAGCATGTTGGTTTCAGCCAGAGCCAGAGCCAGAGAAGACTGGAGCTGCTGAGCCCGATTTGCTTCGGTCGTTTTCGTTGGGACGAAGACGAAGACGAAGCCGCCGCCGGTTTCCTGTCTCGTTTCACACGATCGACATGGAGTTTTTTTTTTCTTTTCCGTTTTTCACGATGTTTTCAGATAGGGTAGACATGTTATACTGCTGTGTAATGTATATGCTGAAACTGTGATGCTCTCGCCATGATCTGTTGCTGTAGTTTAGCTGATGCTTAGAGGAGAAAGTACTACGAGTAGCTCTACGTATAAAGATACATTACTTTTGTGCATAGTGTTAGAAAAAGTGCCAACAAAATCGATCATCTCGTGTTGCTCTTGTTCGGCTCCGTTCTGTAGATATTTGGTAAGACAAAACGGCTTTGTAATTTGTTACTTGCTTGATGGATTTTTTGTTCTTATTCTTAACAAATATTGAATGACGCCATGCGACCAAACCCAATTTCGGCACACATCGAGAGAAAAATTACAATATCCTGTATAGTTTCCTTGGGATGTGATACCATTAATAAAGTTTAGGTCAGCCTGAGGCCTACCAATAATTGTGTAGTCCTCTTCGAAAACTACCCCTGCTGTTGAAAAGGGATTTCTTATATTTGTTTTTCAAATATTTCAAAAAAAAATTCACATTTCAAAGTTTTACATAAACTAGAAAAAATACCTGTGCATTGCAACGGGTGAAGGCTATTTTAATCTTATTATTGTTTACTGTGAGAATTCGCTTGGATATATATTTTTTTAAAAAATCATATCAAGTTAGCATGCGAGTTTTTTTTTTAAAAAAGATTTCTTATACAATATTTTCAAAAGCGAATAAACTTAAAACCCGACTCAAATATAAATCTGTATTTCCAAAAGCGAACGAACTTAAAAACCGACTCATACACGGAACCGGCAAAAACAACTTCAATTTTTATAACAATAGAAATATACTTCTCTTGCCCTATTGTAGGACAAGGCATAAAAATCTCTCTATGGTAGAACAATCTATGTGATGTACCCCGTGAGAGGGCGTGCCATGGTAATTTCGTAGGTTGTCCCCTTCCGGTGAGGGTGGTTTATCATCGGGAGGGGGGTGCTTGCAAAATTGTCATGATACGCTCTATGCATTATCAAACTATGGTCAATGTCATCAAAATAAGTCGCCCTACGAGAGGGCGTGAATTGACACAACGCGTCCTCCCATCTTGTATCACGTCACATAGCACGCTCTACCGTACGGCGATTTATATGCCCATAGGGTGGGAGGAATATATTTTTACAAAACATTAAAACGGTAATTATTTTTTAAATCTTTTAAAAGATAAACATAAATAAAAAAAAATCGATTTTGCTATTTCTCTGTCGTGTGATTCTTTTTTATGTCTCAGTCGATTTTCCTGCCGTTAGATCTTTTGTTGCAAGATTCGTGCAAATTGATCAGTCTAGATCAAATCTCATCCAACCTGGCCCGCTTCTTTAATGTGTCGGACTCAATTTTTAATTTTTCGATTCGATTTTGCTATATCTCACTCGAAAGATTTTTTCTTATCTCTCACTCGATTTTCTTACTCAAATTTACAGTGCATTTTCTTGTAAGTTACAGTGTAATTTATGAAATTTACACTGTAACTTTTGTAAGTTACACTGTAATTTTTGAATCTTCGCATGTAAATTTTAAATTTTGTATTGGATTTGGTCTTTTTATTGAGGATATGGTAATTTAGTGTCCATTATGGTGTTTCTTAATTGCTTTTTGCTTTTTATTATATCTATCGGATTTTAATCTAAAGATTAAAAATCTGTGTGATACGATTATAAAAATCTTTCGAAAGATGTATAGGTACTCCCAAAAAAATTCGTTGAAAAGGAACATATGTGCCGGGCCTGATCATCTTCCTCACCGCTCACGGATGAAACGTTTAACTGGGCCGCCCTAACTGGAGCAGCAACCATACGTGATGGGAATAAGTACACCGTAGGTCCCTCAACTTGTCATCGAGTTATACAATCGTCCCCAACCACAAAACCAGATATATGACATCCTTCAACTTACAAAACCGGTCACAATAGGTCATTCGGTGGTTTTGACACCGGTTTTATCCTACATGGCGTCTGAGTCAACGTAGGACCCACGTGGACCCCATATGCCAGGATGCTACGTCTCTCTCCCTTCCTTCTCTCTCTCACCCTTCTCTTTTCTTCTTCGGCAAGCCCGCCGGCGGCTGGGGAGAAGGCCGCCGGGGCGAGGCGGGAGAGGAGGAGGGCGGCGCCGTGACGGCGGCCAGTGGCGGCGTCGACGCCGGCGATCACCACCACGGCTAAAGTTGTGTTCTAGGACGGCTCCATGTTCGCGGCGCCGGCTAGCACGGTGAGGGACGCGGGTCGTCGGCGTCAGCGTCCACCTGCTTCGTCTGCTGCTCCGACGAGCTCCACTTCGACGCGTCGGCGCGCGCGATGGCGGCTCACGACGCGCTCCGGCCGGGCCAGCTCTACTTCGTGCTGCCCGTCTCAGCGCTCCACCGGCCGCTCTCCGGCCAGGAGCCCAGGACAAGGCCGCGCCCGCCGTCAAGGCCATCGCGGCACTCGGGGCCTCCGCCACCGCCGCCGGCGGCGGTGGCAGCAGCAGCGTGTCGTCGCGGGGCAAGAACGCGAGTCCCGCCGGCAAGCAGCGGCAGCAGACGACTGCTCGAGTGGCGCCGATACGACGAGGATCAACGGAGATATGAACAATTTCATCTAAAAAAAAAGACGATATGGCATGCTGCAAAGAATCAGTATAAAAATTGTCTGAACATACTATACAAGTATGGACTCCTCTATCTACAAATGTGGGAGCATCTAATTAACTAATTAGCATTTAGCAACTAATCTTTGATCAAACTTGTATATAGCAATTTAATAAGTTGGATCACTCATCGCCTTCCGAGATGGCGCTCGACCTCTGCATCTGCAATCCTGCGCGTTGGCGAGCAATGCTACCTCCGTTGATCCTCGTCGTATCGGCGCCACTCGAGCCGTCGTCTGCTGCCGCTGTTTGCTGGCGGGACTCGCGTTCTTGCCCCGCGACGACACGCTGATACTGCTGCTGTTGCCGCCGGCGGCGGCGGCAGTGGCAGAGGCCCCGAGCGCCGCGATGGCCTTGACGGTGAGCGCGGCCATGTCCTGGTCGGAGAACGGCCGGTGGAGCGCTGAGACGGGCAGCACGAAGTAGAGCTGGCCCAGCCGGAGCGCGTCGTGCACCGCCATCGCGCGCGCCGGCGCGTCGAAGCGGAGCTCGTCGGAGCAGCAGACGAAGCAGGTGGACGCCGACGCCGACAACGCGCGTCCCTCACCGTGCTAGCCGGCGCCACGAACTGCGCCATGGAGCTGAGCCGTCCTGGAACACAACCTTAGACGTGGTGGTGATCGCCGGCGTCGACGCCGCCGCCGGCCGCCGTTGCGGCGCCGGCCGCCTCTCCCGCCTCGCCCCGGCGGCCTTCTCCCCAGCCGCCGGCCGGCTTGCCCAGAGAAAGAGAACGGAAGAGAAGAGAAGAGAAGAGTGAGAGAGAGAGAGGGAGGGAGACTGACGTGGCATCCTGACACGTGGGTCACATTGATTCAGCCGCTACGTAGGATAAAACCAGTGTTAAAATCACCGAAGGATATATTGTGACCGGTTTTAATTAGTTAAGGGACGTTGAATATCTGGTTTTACGGTTGGGGACGATTTTATAACTCAATGACAAGTTGAGGTACCTTCGGTGTACTTTTTCCTACGTGATGCCGCCGCGTGCGCCTCATCTCCCAATCACTATAGTTGGTCATAAGGCCCGAGGCCCGAAGGCCCGGCCCACGGCACGCCTTTTTGGCCCGGCCCAAGCACGGCACGGCCCGACTTGGGTCGGGCCCGTGCTGGCCCGGCCCGACCGTCGGGCCGTGCCTGGGCCTCCCCACCAGCACGCTGGGCTGGCCCGGCACGGTCGGGCCGGCCCGGCACGATGGGCTGGCAGGCCAGACCCGGTACACAAAGTATAGGGACTAAAAATAGACATATAAATGTCAATGTCTAAAGAATAGGGACCTTAAATAGACTTATTTTAGCTATTTATATACCACATCACAAAGAAGAGGGAGGTAAAATAGACTTTTTTTTAGCTATACAATGTCACAGCCTAATAGGAGGGAGAAAATTTAGACTTATTCTGAGGAAAAGCACGATGGCCCATCGTGCCTTCGGGCCGGCCCGGCACGGCCCGAGGCGTGTTGGGCCGTGCCTGGGCTGTGAGTGCGGCACGTGGGCTGGCACGGCACGGCCCGGTGCGTCGGTCGGGCCGTGCCGGCCCGACAAGCCTCGGCCCAGGCACGGCCAGGCCTGGGCCGTGCCGTGCCGGGCGGCCCACATGGCCATCTATACCAATCACCACCTCCTGGGCCGAGTAAACACAAGGCCCCCTGATTGTCCGGGCCGAACAACATTTCGCCGAGCAACTCCGCCGTGGCCATGGAACCACATCCCATGAGGTCGTGGATAGTAGAATTAAATTTAAAAATATACAATTTTTTTTAATATTTTTCGTTTATATACTGCATAGGAAATATTTGCACAAATATTTTTTTCCGCACGACGGGAACGCGGGATCGAAACGGTGCCGCGCTTGGTATTCCACGGGACCGGCGATCGCGCAGGACGGGTGTGCGGCACCGTCTCGCTCCCGCAGCTTAGGAGAGCGGCAGCGTGGCGGAGGGCGGCACCAAGCGGGACGGAGCCGGTCGCGCGGCGCCATGGCGCGGGACCGTGCTTCCCGTCCCGTCCCGCGCGTGCGTGTGTCGCGGATGCAAGCATCACCTGTCAAGCATGCACGCACGCACGCACGCAGTTGATCCAGTCAAACCTCACAATACATAAGCACTTGCTTAGCTTATTAATTATTCCATCCTGATCTCCTCAGCTCCATCCATCGATCATTTCCAACCTAATTCCTCGAGAAAGTACAAGCTAGCTGGTTAGTCATATTGTTAATTTTGGCCTCCGTTAGGTCTATAATTAATCCAGACACAACCGAGCTGCACTGTTTAGCGTGGTGGAGGGCAGTTGCGCGGCACTGATGCGCGGGACTGTGCTTGTCGCGCAGCGCCGTGGTGCGGGACCGCCCTCCAGCGAGTCCATGTGAGGCGGTGCCGCACGGGCGTACTGCGCGACTGCCGGTCCCACGGAATAAAAGAGCAGCACCTCCTCGGTCCCGCATCCCCGTTATACGGAGGTGGTATATTTGTGCAAATATTTTTCATGCATGTATATAAACGCAAAATATTGAAAAAATATATATTTTCAAATTTAATTCGTGGATATTACCCATTAGACTGAGGTACAAACTAAGCCTTACCTATTAGACATGTGATAATACGGTAGTGCTTTGCAGCAGAGGCCTGAAGACCGATTCTTATGA